TAATAATAATGATAATAATAATGATAATAATAATGGGGATAATAGTGATAATGATAATAAAATTAATAATCATAATAACAATAGAGAGATAAGTAAATAAATCAATAATTAAATAAACATGATAAAAGCAAATGCAAAAGTAAAAAAAGACGCAGCAAACAGGGACCTCGGTTACTGCGAAAAGTTGCGTCAGGGTTTGGGTCAAGTTGCGTGCGTGGTTCCCTAGTCCCGCACTTTAGGAGCCGAGACACCCCGTGAGGCCAGTAGCAAACCAGGGAATGCGAGCCGTCTGCTGTTATGATGTTATATATACGAGGTGTTAGAAGTGTGTCGGTCGGAGGGCGTTAGAAGTGTGTGAGGCAGAGGGTGTTAGAAACATGTCAGGCGGAAGGTGTTATAAATGTTATAAGCGTCGCGTCTTAGAAATGTGTTAGGCAGAAGGTGTTAGAAAGTATTAGATAGGAAGGAGGAAGAGAAAGAAGAGGAGGAGGAGGAGCAAGAAAAAGAGAGGGAGGGGGGGGGGGGTCAGGGGGAAGAAAGTGAAAGAACAAAGCTAGAGGCAAAATAGGGAAGAGAAGAGCCATATGATAAAAAAGGAAATAAGAAGAAATTTGATGTTGGAAACCTAGAAAAACTCGTAGGAATGGGACAGCAGTTTATTAGAAATGGAAATGAAGGAAAGAGAGAATATGCTAAAGAGATAATCGCAGAGATGAGCTAATTAAGGGCTAAACTTTGAGGGGAAGTGAAGTTAGCCGTTATTCGAGGCTAAGAAGTAGCGACTAAGGTGTCACGAAGATAGAAAGGGAGGTGGGGGTGGAGAAGGCGAGAAAAGGGGGGGGGGAGTGGAGGGAGAAGAAGGGACGAGAAAGGGGGGAGAGGGAAGGATGGGAAAGAGGCCGGGGGGGTGAGGGAAGGACAAGAAACCGGGGGGGTGGGGGGTAGTGGTCATGAGGGGGGCGGAGGAGGAGGGGGGGAGAGCGCGTGAAGAGCCCAAGAAAAGTAGATCCAGACACGCACGTTAACTTCTCATTCTCTCCTTTGCTTTGCTATTTGTTCTTCCTCCCTTGCCACTTCCTATTCGTCCACCTCTCCATCTATTCCTCGTTCTCTTCAAATATTAAGACTCGAAATATATATGCATATTCCACTTATGTTTCGACCGTGACGCGTGCATTCACACTCTCCATATCATTACTCCGTAAGTCTTATTGAATGCAATAAGCAAATACATCGTTCTTGCAATATTCATACAATATATCCATTCGACGATCTTTCCTGCACGCGGAGCCATTTGATATTTTATACAGTTTTATGATCTAAAAGTAAATTCAAGTAAATTTCTCTCATCACTTAAGGTGCAGTGACTAGTTTCAGAGGCAAGCGCGCTGATCATGCAACTCCTGCGGCTGCAAGAAGTGCCCGCGGCTCTGTGTTCCGTGCAATTGTGATTTCTTTCTTGGGGTATAGGCTTGCTTGCTTGCTTGCTTGTCTGTCTGTCTGTAGGTTTTATATAATCTATTGTTTATGTTTTTTTGCTGTATTTTTTGCAGGGTAGTTATATGTTATGTGGTATTTTTTCTACTTTCTTCACTCGATTTCTTTCTGTATCTGTCTGTCTCTCTGCCTTTCTGTCTCTCTCTCTCTGCCTTTCTCTGTCTCTCTGTCTGTTCGTCTCTCTCTCTCTCTCTCTCTCTCTCTCTCTCTCTCTCTCTCTCTCTCTCTCTCTCTCTCTCTCTCTCTCTCTCTCTCTCTCTCTCTCTCTCTCTCTCTGTCTCTGTCTCATTTTCTCTTTTTTTCTTTTTTATATCGATTTATCCTTAAGTACCTCTTTCTCTCCTTCCTCTCATGTCTTTCATTTCCCCTTCCTCCTCCTTTCCTCCTTCCATCCTTATTCCTACCTTTCGTATCTTCACCCTTTCCTGTGTAGTATTCTCTTTTCTCCTTCTCTGTCCCTTCCCAATTTCTCTCTCTCACGCCTCTCCCCCTATCCTCCTCTTTTTCCCTTTTCCTTATTTTCCATCCTTCTTCCTTTCTCTGTCTCTTCTTTCTATCTCTCATCCTCTCTCCTTCCATCTTCATTTCCTCCATCTCTCCTTTCCTCTTATCGTTTCCCTTCCTCTCTCTCTCTTTATCCCCCCAAACATCGCACTCCCTCTCTGTTCTTCCCTCCCACTCCTTCCTTTCTCCCTCCCTCCCACATTCACTCTTTTTCTCCATTCATGCTTCCTTAATCTCTTTCTTTTCCTCTCGTTCCCTCTCTTCTTTCTGTCCCACCTCCCTCCTTCTCTCACTCTCCTCCTATCTTTTCCCCTGTTTCTTTGTCTCTGCCCTCTCTCTCTTCCCTCTCCGTTGCTCCCTTATTCTCTCGTTTCTCTCTCCCTATGCTTCCCACTCCTTTCCCTTCAATCTTTTTTTTCCTTCTGTCTTCCCACCTCGCATTCTCTTCCCCTCTCTTCCTCTCTTCTTCCCCTCCTCCCTCTCTCCCTCCCTCCCTTCTTACCCTCTCTCTCACTCCCACCCACCCTCCCTCCCTCCTTTCTTACCCCCTCTCTCACTCCCACTCTCCCCTCATCCCTCCCTCCCTCCCTCCTTCCCTCCCTCCTTCCCCATCTCCCTCCCTCCCTTCCTCCTACCCTCCCTCCCTTCCTCCTTCCCTCCCTCCCTCCTTCCATTCTCCCCTCATCCCTCCCTCCCTCCCTCCTTCCCTCCCTCCCTTCCTCCCTTCCTCCTTCCCTCCCTCCCTCCTTCCCCATCTCCCTCCTTCCCTCCCTCCCTTCCTTCTCTCCCACCCACCCTCCCTCCTTCCCTCCCTCCCCTTCCTTCTCTCCCACCCTCCCTCCCTCCTTCCCTCCCTCCCTTCCTTCTCTCCCCCCCCCCCCACCCACGCACATCCCAGTGTTAGCAGTAGTGTCTAAAGCCATCATCAACAAGTTTGCATGTCAGTCATCATGCGCCATGCGGATGTCATGACCCGCGCAGGTGAGGATTCCAACAGTCATGCAAATCATTGGCAACGTATCCTATTTTGGTGTGTGATGGATGGTGACCTTGCAACTTGCACGTTGATTAGAGGGCCTTTGCCTGACTTATTGGTGTTCCTCTTTTGTGTGGATAAGGAGAGATATTGGGGGATAAATAGAGGGAGAGGAAGAATGGGAATAAATGGGAAATGAGAGGGGATGATTGGAATCGGAGGGAGAGGCAAAGGGGATGATGATGAAGCGGAAAGATCAGCAAAAGGTGTGAGAGAAACGACAAGGGCGGTAGAGAGGTGTGAATAAAGAGCACAGGATTATTATATAGTGTGTTCATATTTACAAACGCACGCAGAGACAAG